AAAATTAGGTTTGTGAAAGGTACGCCGTATTAATCTGTTGAGTGCCACCGTATATATTTTGAAACTACAATGAAAACAAGTTTTATTTGGTAGAGTTGGTTTGCAAGGCTTTTATTTCACCCCATACCCAAGTTCGAATCATGTTACTATCATTTTCTTAATCAAATGGTGCCATTGTTTGAAAAAAAAATTATGTACATTTGTTTCTTATAGTCAAATGGTATCACCCTTTGAAATTTCTTTCCTATATTTTTTCTTATGGTCAAACGATGTCGCCGTTTAAAATGGTACATCTCGACTATGTTACAATGTGAAAATATGTGAAACCCCCTTAAATCTTTCTCAAAAAAGTTTTTAGACAGGATACGTAAAAACAACTCGATGTTAATGTTAATAAAACGATTTTCTAATTCCATATAATATAAGTAACGGTGAGGGTGATCCTAGGCCAAGGCTCGCTCCTCCAGTGCACCGGTCGGCATTATAGCATCTCTAATGTAAGGTTTTTAAAAGTAAAAAGTGTAGCTTCTTACAAGAATTAATATTATGGAGAGTTCTTATAAGAACTTCACCCTTTTTAGTTCTTGTACAGAAACTTTAATTCTTACCTTAAAATTGATGTGAACTGACAATCTGCAAGTTTTTTTTATATATTTTGAATTAAGTATTTGGTATTTATTTATAAATACATAATAAGTATTGATGTTGGAATAATACATGGGACCTACAAAAAGGTTCTTATAAGAACTATCATTGTGGACATTTCTATGAGTTCTTAACTTAATGAGTTGGAAGTGATGTGGCAATAAATAGTACGAAAAATAGGTTCTTATTATAAGAGCATCTCCAATAGAGGTTCTTATAAGAACTTCCTTTTTACATTTTTTATTTTCGACTCATCAAATTAAGAACTTTCTTGAAAATCCAAGATGGTAGTTCTTATAAGAACCTATTTTTTGTGGATCACATTTAGGAGCCGTTCACCTAAATGCTTATCCGGTAAGCACTTACCATTAGGAGTCAACACTATAATTTATTTTACTGGGTAAGATTGTAGTACATTAAAATGGTAGAGTATATATGCAACAATTTACCCGGTAAGCACTTACCCGGGTAAGAGTCGTCACCCTCACTTACCAAGTAAAACTCTTCATCTTTATCATTGCTCTTACCGGGTAAGATTTTTGACCCTTGTCATGTTCATCAGATAAGGAAAATTACTCGGTAAGCACTTTTCAGGTAAGCGTTTAGTAAACAGCTCATTATTCTTTTAACATCAATAATTATTATATCAATAATTATAAAGCCAATAAAATAAAATAAAAAATAAGGAAAATATCACTTCTCACAAAATTAATGATAAGAATCAAGGTTCTTGTTCAAGCACATAGAGGGTATGAGGTTCTTATAAGAACCTCTCCACAATGATGGTTTTTACAAACCACTACACTTTTGCTAATAAGACTCTTGCATACACGAGCACTCCAACAGCATTCAACTCCTTCAATTTCTTTATTTTGTAGATTACAACATTTATTGTATCATCAAAGTATTTCATACACTTAGGGGCTGTTTACCAAACATTTACTCAAATAAGCGTTTACTAGTAAAAATTCAATATTATTGCTTACTTATTGGGTAAGATTTTAGTCTACCAAAATAGTATCATATGTAACAATTTACCCGGTAAACGCTAACCGTGGTGAGAGTTGTCACTCTCACTTGACAGGTAAGAACCTTGGTCTTTGCCTTCGCACTTACCGGGTAAGATTCTTGGTCTTTCAAATATTCATCCGCTAAGGTAATGTGACTTGATAAGCGTTTGTCAGATAAGTGTTTGATAAAAGGCCTCTTACCCTACTATAAAGTAAACATGTTAGTACCAAAACCTTCTTCAAAAACGTTTAACGGGTAAGTTACATAAGTAATAAATTTAGATGAATCCAATACGATAAAAAGTAAAAAAAAAAATATCGTTTTAACATTCTAAACACCATATATATAAATATTTCTCTCCTAAACATTTAATTTTCAAAATTCCTCATTGTTGAAATTTAATACAAAAAAAATGTATCTCTCTCAGGGACGGACCCAGAAATTTTTTCAAATGCACCATTTGACTAAGAAAATGACACTAATAAGAATCGAACTTGGGTCTGGGATGGAATAAAAGTCTTGCAAACCAACTCTATCAAATAAAACTTATTCTCATTGTAGTTTCAAAATACATACGGTGGCACCTTTCACGAACCTAAAAAATTTACCCTTCGACGGAGGAATAATACAGTGTCACGTTTGTCAACTGTTTTCTCTAATGGTAATCATTTCTGAGAGTTTTTTAAATTCAGATATTTTCACACCTCTCTCTTATTTTCTTCATTTTAAAGAAAAGTTTTGAAGAATCTGTCGGAACAAAAAATTACCCAAAAACCTCAGTGTTTTTCTATTTAAAAAAATGTATAAATAATGAAGTTTGACCAAATCTATTAATAGTCAATTCCAATCACGTATAATTAATTTTATAATTATGATGCAAACAAATAATCAACTCTAACTATGAAGAAGCAAGAGTGTGATGAATTCTGTTGTTGGTCAATGCCGGCCATACAAATATAATTAAAATTTAATGCATTTTTTAATTAATTATACTACGAGTATATTCATATATTCTATAAACCTTATCAATTTAATTTTGGAAAATTTGTATCCGCCAATTTTAATATAACAAAAATATTAAGAGGTATTTGTTGTTTTTGCTTAACGAATCTATATTTTATTTTATTTTATTTTATTTTATTTTATTTTATTTTATTTATACCTCATTTTATAGGGTATGTGACTAAAGAATGACGTAAGAAATAAAACATGAGAGTATGATTAAACGAGAACTTATGGTCTGTTTACCAAACGCTTATCTGGGTAAGCGTTTATCAAGTCATGTAAGCTCACCGGATGAATATGGTAAGAACCAAAAATCTTACCCGGTAAGAGCGAGACAAGGATCAAAAGTCTTACCCGGTAAGTGAGGGTGAGGACTCTTACCATGGTAAGCGCTTACTGGATAAATTGTTGCATACAATGTCGTTTTGGTGGACTAAGATCTTACCCAATAAGTAAATAATAGTGTTAGATTTTACCGATAAGCACTTATCGAGTAAGTGTTTGGTAAACGACCCCTTAATAATTTGTGATACTCATTTAAGATAATTATGTTATTTATTAAATAAATTAAAAAGTAATTTGATTTAATTAGTTTGTTATCTCAATAAATAGGAAACAGATAACTCCCATAAAAAGGAAATCTGTAACTCTTCAGTAACACCAAATGTATTTTTGTTGTTTTGTAGTTTTGTTGTTTTCTTTGTATCACATGTTTTCGGTGTTTACGGTGTATCACGTTGTGTATCTTAGGGTATCATGTGTATACAAGTGTCTCACAGCGAGCATCAGTAGGTGTTAGTGGGTATATAGAGAGAATAACCCTAATTAATGTATTGAGGCATAAATATAGTAGGTATCACAGTGAAATGTTCACGCTAGATGTGAGATGGGAGATAAGATTTCTAAAATAACTAAAATGTCATTACTAAAGTCAAAATTATTAATTTTCTAATTTGAACTTTGATTTGCAGTAAAAATTAAATCTCATAAAATACTGAGTTCTTCCTTGGATGACCCCTATTTACTCACATACCACCTCATTTCTTACCATTTTACCCCTTAAAGAAGGGGGTAAAAGGGCCAAAAGTTGGTCTCCGGTCAGTCCCAAATTGGCCCTTCAAAACCGGTCCAACTTGTTCCGGCAAAAAAAATATATTTCTTTCTAAATCTTTTTACACAAAAACGTTATACGTGTTTCTATAATTACGGTTTTTAAAATTTAGATTACAATACATTTAAAGTAGATAAAATCTTGAAATTCTTTTTAAAAAATTAATATTTTTGAAAGGAAAAAAAGACGTTGGATTATGTGAAAACCTAGAAAATTTGAAGAAAAAAACTGACCTAGGCTAGACCTTGAAATTCTATAAAGTAAGTGTGCGTGCACGCACACGTGTGTGCCATTTCACAAAGTTTAAGGTAACATTCAAGGTTTTTGTACAAAAACTCCAAAGATGTCATGTCTTATAAGAACTCTTTCCGATAACAGTAACTTATAAAGATTATATTGTTTGCTTATAAGAACCTCTCATTAAAATGTTCTTATGAGACTAATTCAGATACTCATAGAAGAAAAAAATATAGAGAAACTGCCCCGGTTCAATCTCCATGAACACCAAATATGGACAAGACCAATAACAATAAATCTCGACCACAAGGATGGTGTCTAATTGGTTTGAGTTTGGGCTCCAAAAGTCAAAAGTGTCTGGAGGTTTCAGGTTCAAATCGAATGAGGAATAAAAACCTTCTTATGACAACGGAGGTTCAATTGCGGTGACTCCGGCTACCCGCAAAGCAGGCGGTCGTCCTGAGATTAGTCGTTTCACATAACGGGTTGGATATCCAGGTTAATTAAAAAAAACTTTAATACACAAATTTGCATAAGATTATAATCATTAGCAGTATCAATCGGCAATAATTAGGGACAGCAAAAAGTCATCTGACGCAATTAGAACTGACTGATAATAACTGGTTATCCAATTGTAATTAGATCCGATTCGATCCAAATTTTCAATGTATAAATTAGATCGGTTGATTTTGGGATGACAATCCAGAATCCAATAAAACCCAATGACCATCCAATTAATACTTTTTACGTTATCGTTTTTAATTGATATTTGTATACAATGTTTGTTAAGATATTAGAAAAATATATAGTTGAAACGATGGATTAGAATATATTGGATGGATCTGATCCGATTTAATAAATAATCAGTAGTAGTATCCAATGGATGGAACCGATCTAATCTAATCCAATCACCCACTAGATTGGATTGGATCCGCTATTTAATATTAATTTGATTGGATCGGATCGGATGGTAAAATCGAACAACTAATCATTGGATTCGATCAAATGTAATCCATTAGATTTCAACCACTGAACACCCCTAATCAGCATTACATTCCACCACAACCATACTGAAAAAGGAGAAAATGTTTGGGTGTTCTTTGAATTCTTCGATTACCCAAAATGTATCGAACAATCGGTGCAAAAAGATTACAAAAATTACATGTTGATAAACTTCATTCGGAAGGTCAGACTTACCATTTTAGATCGATAGAAGTAGCTCGCTCTTATATAAACCTAACTCAAATTGTTATCACACCGTCAGCAGTTCCTGAAAGTGAATGCAACGTATCAAGATTTTTTAGCACGTAAACTTCCATTCACGCTCAATTAAGCAAGCAAAAGTACAGGCCCGGTATATCTCATCTGGAGGTGGGATATATGCAGATCTTTCCTCTACCTCTGAGAGTAGGGCGGTTATTTACGTGAATACCCCGGCTTGCAAAAAAAATGTGTGCGGAAAAGACTTGAGGAAGGGTTATGTATGTAAATTACCTTCTCCTTCTGTTTGAAGATGGTGTCGATCTTTTTCATGTATTCATCAGTCACTTTCTGCAAAAAAAAAAATCAAATTTCTGTCGGTTTTTGATTGTAAATTAAGGTTTTCATTCACACCCAAGGTTCTAAATGACATAAGACGTGACATCAACGTTAACCCTCAAACCTTGCATGCCACGGCAACTGGGGCGGATGCAGTATGTTAAAGGTGAGGGGATGGCCCCATTAAATATTTTTTTCTTTTTTATATAAAAACAATTTTTTTTAACTTTCTACCATATTTCCCCAATAACTTCCCACTTGTACCCCCACCAATCAAAAGGAGTACCTCAAAATCAACCAAAAAAACGAAAAAAAAAATCTCTTCAAATCAACCAAAAAGGCCGAAAAAGTCCCTCGAAATCGACAAAAAACAAAATAAACCAAAAAAATTAAAATCCGTCGAAACTGTGGAATTATGCTAAAAACACATCAGGGCGACTTTCCAGACCTTTAGTCTACCTTAAACGTGCCCCCACTAGGCAAAAATCCTGGATCCGCCACTACATGCACGACAGGACATAAGGCGGCTAAATTTGTATGTTATATATAGAATTATATATATATATATATATATATA